ATAAAACACTATCACAGAAATGCAAAGAAAAACTGCCGGAGAAGTCAGGCGGTACAAATCGACATGACCTTGAGGATACAATAGTCAGCGCAATGTACAAAAGAAGGAGGACGGTGAGGGGTTGGGAGAAGGAATAAGATACTGTAGGATGGTGTGAAGAGAGAGCGAGATGGTAAAAGATGTAGAAAGCAAAAAAAGTAGGCGGTCACGTCATTGTAGAGTGTCAAGATAGCGCAGAACGTCCTTCTTCGTTATAATTCCGCGCAGTTGACTGGAACAAAAGAAAGTAAGGGTTTAGAAAACAGGCAGTCACAGTGTCGGGGAAGCAGAAGGCAGGATGAATACTAAAGGACCATCCATTGATGAAACGACCGCTTAAAGTTGGAGATACGGCTAAGTGGTTGTTTATGTGTACTACACACACCGTTTATTGTCAATTTTGCCACTGATGTTACGCGTTTACCTAGCTGGGACAGAGGTTATTTGACTCTAGGGCTCACATGAAGATTAAAACTGCCCCTCTCCCCCTGTCACGAGAACGAAACTCTTAAAAAACTCACAGTCTGCCTATTGATTATTTTCACTATAACTTTCAAGCCACAGTGTTGCTCCCTCATCTATGCTGACAACATGGCGATCTTGGAAATCATGGAGGATCGCTGGGCCGGAATACATACACTGGATGCGTCAGCATCTGAGTTTTGTGGTGCGACAGACATTCCCGTTAACTTTGACCGCCGCAGTAACAGTGTGGCGGACAACGAACATGGCTGTCCAAATTCCTTGTTTAGTGTCCGCTACCTCAAGGTCATGCAACTTCCCGGGGAGCGCTTTTTGACTCGCTGATCTCATGACCCTCTACCGGCCTCCACTCGCGTGCGCACATGCTTAAGGGCCATTCAAACACGCTACTCCTCGGTGGACGCAGCATGGGCCTCTATACATGGGCACAACTTGGACTTATTCCACAATCTTTTAGAAGAATCTGCCACCACTTTCTCACATACAATCTGGGGATTCGGTCTGATGATTATAGTGATGAGTACAAATGCGGCTTAGACACCTACAACACTTTTCGGGAAGACACGGGAATAGGAACCCACTCTCCCCCGTAGCTTGTGTTAATTCCCGGAAATGCCCTCACCGCCGTGTTCTAACCATAATCCTAACGCTACATTTTAAGATACCCCTGGAATTCATAGCGTTGACACTTGTTTTGGGGAGTAGAGTTCCTATTCCTGTCTTACAAGAAGAAAGGAAGCTTGATGGAGTCGTAATACAGACAGATTTCGAACATCATCCCATGATGATTTATTCTGAAACGACTGCCAAGACTTCAGTCGCTTTTCCAAACATACATCTGTAACTAAACAGCTACTCAAATAGATTCAGTAGAAAGACTAATTATAATTACAGTGGTCTCCATCATCCGATTTTCACGATTTACTGTATGCGGCCCAACGACAAAAGTTTCAAGTATTCTCAGAAGTCTAGACAAAAGCTAGAGCACGCTACGGGCAGAGTTTTAAACAGAGCAGCCATTTTTTCTTCCCCACCCACCCTTGCACAGCTTTCAGCTTTGGCGAAGGAAACTGACTACTTATCCAACTGAAACCGACTCTTCTCCATTGACAGGCTGTTATACTGCATTTTGTGCAAAAAACTTCACAGAATACCTAAACATAATTTTTAAAACTTAAATTCTTGCTTGGTTCTGAAAATGAGCTATGAATGAGCTATGTCCATAGCTCATGTAACAAGATGAATCTTTCGTGGAAACTTCTCAGTTAAGCAATAGTGAAAGCTGTGCTTTTTTCGCTTGCGCAAACTTTGCTGTTGAAAACTATATTTCAAAAATACAAGCGTAGTCCCGCTCTCCCTCTGTAGTATTGCAAAATGCAAAAGCATGGTGGAAAAGGAAAAAAAGTAAACACGTTTCCTCACCCATTGCAGGTAATGAGAGTTTGTCGAAGTCCCAGACTTCGGAAGATGTCAACGATTGTTGCAACGGGAGTATGTTGGGTGATTGTGGTAGGCGACTGGGCGAAAAAAAAAGAATGCGTATCTAGTGTTTGTCAAAAACAACAACAACAACAACAAAACTAGGTCTCCACGGGGCAAAGCGCACAAAG